TAAATAAAATAAAATAAACCTCGACAGCATCTTAAAAAAACAGAGATATTACTTTGCTGACAAAAGTCCACATAGTCAAAGTATGGCTTTTCCAGTAGTGTTGTATGGAAGTGAGAGCTGGACCATAAAGAAGGCTGACCACCAAAGAATTGATGCTTTTGAATTGTGGTGCTGGAGGAGGCTCTTGAGAGTCCTCTGGACTGCAAGGAGAACAAAACTATCCATTCTGAAGGAAATCAGCCCTGAGTGCTCACTGGAAGGACAGATCCTGAAGCTGAGGCTCCAATACTTTGGCCATCTCATGAGAAGAGAAGTCTCCCTGGAAAAGACCCTGATGCTGGGAAAGTGTGAAGGCAGGAGGAGAAGGGGACGACAGAGGACGAAATGGTGGGACAGTGTCACCGAAGCAACCAACATGAATTTGACCAAACTCCAGGAGGCAGTGGAAGACAAGAGGGCCTGGCGTGCTCTGGTCCATGAGATCCAAAGAGTCGGGCATGACTTAACGACTAAACTTCGACAACCTCCTGCCATATTTTTAAAAAGCTACAGGTTTTGATTAGTAATTGGGTCAGCTGTGTAGACCCTTGTGAAATATGGTGATATGCACCACTGCCAAAGACTTATCTGGATGGCGTTTCACTTTCTCCAAAAGAAGATATTTACACCTGTGATATTCTCCCAGACTGAGTTCTGTCACCAGAGGCTGAAATGGTGTATGAGACATAGGCCTTGTCTACATCCCATTTTGGAGTGGGCTGGAGCAGCTGAATAGGGTCACTAAGAGGTCTGGTGTGCCATTTGGTAGAATCTTCACATCCAAATGGCATATGGTAATTAAGCATCCTTATTTAGTCCACACCAGTCCAATGTCAATTTAGCATCATTGTGAAGTGGATTAAGAAGAGAGCCACTTCAGGGTTTAATTTAATTTTCAAGTTCCTAAGTGCCTTATGAGCCAGGCATTTGAAATGTTAACTAAATGGAGAAATGTTACATGTTACCAGAATTAACCACCCTATATTGTATGATCATCTTTTGTTCCCTTTTCTGATTGCTTTCCACGTGATAAATGAAGTGATCAGCTATTAAGAAGGTGTTCATGGCTCTGATGCTCTTCTAATGGTATTTAATCCCCAAGGAGGCACATTTAATTCTGGTACAGTTATTTTTACAATACAAAACAATTTTTAGTGTTCACTTAGGTACCAGAAGTACTGGTTTTTGTGTTTGTTGTTTGTATACTATTTTTATCTGTGATCTGTTTTGAATGTGGACTCAGAATGTAAATTATTCCAGAATCCATTTTGAAGAATATCAAATATTATAAATAAATCAGCACATGACTGAGTGGGGAAAAGATTGATTAGTTGTTTGTGGTATGTTTATGTGGTGTGGGGGGGGATACTTCAGTGGTATCCTGCTATATTGCTTACTAATCAATATGAAATGAAATCCCTCATGATCTACTTTGATACAAGTCCTCCTGAAATGAAGGAATATGTTCTCCTGCAAGATCTGATTAATTTTAAGGGAGTTGCTAAACATTTCTCCCTCTCCCTGGAAGATTTGTGCTAGGAGATTTTCATATGTAAATTTCATGCATGCTAGTTTAGTTTTTGCTGGCTGGGGGATTCTGAGAGTTATGAGTAGACATGGTCTAGAGGGGCGGGGTATAAATTTAATAAATAAAAATAAAAATAATAAAAATAAAAAATATTATGATCCCCAACTCTTACATGTTCCCAACTCTTACATGTTGGGACCTCTTGAAAATAAATTCTAGAGAAAGTTGAAGGGGGGGGGAAATGGGGTGGGATAAATGTGCCATCTTACTGGCATTTGAAACAAGATGCTTGACTGACAAAGGATGCAGTCTGTGAAAAGGAATTGGCTGTGCTTTTATTTGGGAAGCTGCTCCTACTGGAGGCAACAATATATGTGTTTATTTTCTTTCCCCCGGATTTAAGCAAAGGAGTTGGCATCCTGGAGAGGAAACACAGCCAAGCAATATTCAACAGAGTTTTCTCCCATCATATTTCGAAAGGTTGAAAGGTCCCTGCAAGGGTTCATTGTTTGGTCCTATGGCTTTATTTTTCTTCTACAGAAGCTCTTTGTTCAGGTCCTTAATGTATTGGGAAGTGGGGGCAGGGCGGGGAGGTGCAGAGTACAGGTTAGAAGGCAGGATAACAATGAAAGCTGCAGCCTAGGCCCTTTGTACATGGCATGAATGTGGATTGAACCTGGGAACAAAGGACATGCTTTGGAAAACAGTCATAGGCAGCTAGAACATTTCAGCTACAAGCAGAGTGTGTGCATTTGTTGGTGTGTGTTTCTATGCGTGTAAGTTTTATTTCCAGCAAGCCTTCTATGCATACATTCCCTAAAGGAAAAGGCAGGAACACTATTCACTACAAATGTTTTTGGCTTTGCACATGTGTAATAATAAAGCAAGTAAGTTCTGGAGGGAATGAACAGTTTCCAGATCATAACAGCTGCATGCCATTGGTTAACAGAGTGAGGTCCTCATTTGCATTCTGCAGAAATAACGCAAAGGAATCCAGTCCATCAAACTGCTTGAACTGTCACGAGAAACACTGGGAGCTTTTCACCCACAGTTCGCCCGGGCTTTGTAGCGGAAAAGTGACTTTAAGTGAACAGTAATAGAAATACAAATCCAGCGGTTGCTTAAGAGAAATCCTTTCTTGTGACTCTAGCAGTTCCTTGCTTCAAAGGAACCACTTTTTTTTCAGGGTGGCAAAATCAAGGGAGCCTATTGTCTTACTGCTGCACCTGGATGGCTTACAGAGTGCTTCCTCTGCAGCAAAGGGCTTTCCCCTGATGACAAATTTTGTCCTCTATATACAGTGTGCACGTTGGATGTGGAGAGGCATGAGACGCCAAGGAGACTCCTGACCAATACAGTGAATTGCTGGAAATAGGCATGCCAGACTTGTCACTCAGGAAACTGTCATGCCATTAAATTCATTTTATCAAAGACCGGAAGGAAAAGCTGCCATTTGACCAGCTGAAATGCTTGCAAAGTATTTTTCAGAATGCATTGTTTACTTCAGTTGCTGGTTGTATTTACATATACAGTAATTTTATGTAGCATTCTTTGCATTTCAGTTTATGTTCAAGGAAGATAGCACTCTCAAATAATCTCATCTGCTTGAACTTTGTCTCTCTTGATCTGTGGTTCCCAACCTTTTTTTGAGTCGTGACCCACTTTTATGACAGCCAAGTAACCTATGACTCCCCTCCGCCATGTTTGCATAAAAACACATTTTAATGGGGTAAAGTAATCTCTTCTCAGAAAGTAGAGGCTTCTTTGTCCCCCAAAGTGCCTGTTTCTCATGCACACACACATGCACACTAACTTTAATATCTGGTTCCAAAATATCATGGAAGGAATTATTTAACAAGGGCTACAACGCATATAAGGCAATCTGTGACACACACCTCAGAAAACACTTTATGATCCCCTTGAGGTTCATGACCGCCGGGGTTGTGAAACACTGCTCGGGATCCTTGTGTCCTCTGCCTTGACCCCCATCAACCCTATCATGCTCTTTACAAAGATGATTCAGTTTCATCTCACATTTCATATTGTTAGTTTCAGATTGTGTACTCATTTCTACTTGCTGTCATCATGTTCCCTCTTGTTGTCTTTGTCTTCTTTTTCTTTTCTGTATAACACGAAGGATATATGCAGTGGAAGTTTGATTATAATAATCTGAATATCAGGGTATGTGAGTTGTTGGTTTTTTTTTAAAAAAAAAGACCTTAAATGGGGAAAAAAAAAGAATTCTAAAGGAGGTAGGGGTTGCTATTTCAGATGCTAGGGTAGCATAAAGGTTTCATTGTTTTGTTGGGGTGAGGAAAGAGGTTCAGCAAGTGCCATTGGTCTGATTTGGAAGATAGTGCACCTAAAATTCAAACAGGGCATTGGGCGGTGATACAATTTCTAGTAATTATAACTAAAACAATACATTTATAATGTTCTGTCATCAAACAAAATATATAGCAATACTTTTTTTCTCGAATACTGTACCTGATAATAATACAGTACTTGGGCCCACTAAACAATAACAATATACTTAAAGTGTGTAAAGTCTGTAAGCTTTCAAAAACGAAGGTAGCATGTGTGGTCTGCAGTATGGAGGGTACTGTGTAACAAGGCCATCCATTTCTCTGAACAATACCTCAATCGGACGGACCAGGCAGCACCCAATGCTGCTTAGAACTGATGTTCTTTTGTTTTATAGGAACTCACACTGATCTGCATATCAAGGTAGATTTCTTTGCAACTTAGGAGAGCCTTGTAAAAGTCTCATCAGAATTTCCTTTTTAGGTTTGCTTATGCTCATGGCAAGGAAAATCCCAACATTCCTTTAAAAGGCCCATTGACATTGTTTTAGTGTTTCTGTGCTGAATCCTCTTTTGAACAAAAAAGGGTGGCTTTTTCAGACAGCATTTACTTTGTCCTATATGCATGTTTGCTTTGATGGCACCTTGAAATCTTTACTGTCAAGATTTCTTTAGAGTGAACCTACAGGCATGATATTCTGCTCCAGAAACCACGCTGCACATTGAAGCTTAATAGCAGCTCAGAAATGCCAATGGATTCTGGTCTCCACAAAGTGGGAAGCTCCGCTTTTTACAGGCTGCCTATTTTGAACTGTTTATCTGTTTTAATTTGGGAAACGTATTAATTCCTCTCCTGCTCCTCCTTCTTTTTTGGCACTTAGGAGTTCAGATTCTGAAGAAGCATTTGAGACGCCAGAATCCACGACACCTGTGAAGGCCGCACCTCCACTACCATTGTCACCACCTGAAATTGCAGCATTTGACATAGAAGAACAGGAAGTAAAGCCACAGCTTCCACCAGAGGACACAGGTATCGATTACAGAATACAGTGGACCCTCGACTTACGAAGGTCCCTACTTACGGAAATTTCTAGGTACGAAAAGCTCCAGCTGCAGAATTTTAGTTCGACTTGTGGCCGGAGCTTTGACCTACGAAAGGCATGGGGAAAGGGCGGGAAATTCAAAGCAGTTCCCGCTGCCCTCTTGTCTCCTGTCCCCGGTGCCCTCTGCCTCCTGTGGACAGGAGGCAGAGGGCACCGGGGACAGGAGACAAGAGGGCAGTGGTTCCAGCTTTCTAAGCCCCCAAAGCCAAAAGCCGATCCACCCAAAAGCCGCTCCACGCCTGCTGCCAGCTTTTGGGGCTTAGAAAGCTGGACCCACTGGCCTCTTGTCTCCTGTCCCTGGTGACCTCTGCCTCCTGTCCCTATGGGGATAGGAGGCAGAGGGCACCAGGGACAGAAGGCAGAGTGCAGCGGGTCCAGCTTTGGAAGCCTGAGATTTTTTTTTCTTTGGCTGGAACAAATTAGATGGTTTTCAATGCATTCCCATGGGAAATGGATCCTCGACCTACGGAATTTTCGACCTGTGGCCACAGTTCCAATACGGATTAATTCCGTAAGTCGAGGGTCCACTGTAAATGAAGGCGGGGACAGTTCTCTGCATAGGAATGGAGAGGATATTGAACTTTTTTCCCTCATCAGTGATTCTGTGCTTTGCTTGTAAAAGGTGCCCTTACATCTTTAAGTAGAAATGAGGGGAAAAAAACTAGAGTGGTACCCCAGGAGAGCTACTGCCGCCAGTTAGTGTAGAATTAAGCCAGTGTTTTGACTGTTGTGTTGTATTAGCCACTTCATATGTGCAATTGGAGTTACACTCCAGTGGTGGTAGCCCCGTTACAGTGTTTGCTTGTGGGATTGCTTATGAGATATAGCTATGAAAAAGGAGTTATTCTAGTTTTTGTGAAATTTTTGCCCAAAATTTACAATTTTGCTGTGAAGGAAAGAAATAATCCATTTCCTCAACAAAACCCATTTAATCAACAACACATGTTTATTCATGACTACTTCTTCAAGTCTTTCTTCTTTCATAGCAGTCAGTGTTAACTCCTATTCTAATAAAAGCCCACTGAGAAAATCTTTTACACTCACCCATCTCTTTCTGCCCTCCTACCAAACCATATGTGACTAGTGTAGTGTTAACTCATCATATGTCTGTCATGGAGATTAGTGAATAAATTCCTGCTTTTATTTGTTT